GGCTTCCATAGCCAGTGTGGTGTAGTGGTTAAGAGCGGTAGACTCGTAATCTGGTGAACCGGGCTCGCGTTTCTGCTCCTCCACATGCAGCTGCTGGGTGATCTTGGGCTAGTCACACTTCTCTGCAGTCTCTCAGCCCCACTCACCTCACAGAGTGTTTGTTGTGGGGGAGGAAGTGAAAGGAGATTGTTAGCCGCTTTGAGACTCCTTCTGGTTGTGATAAAGCGGGATATCAAATCCAAACTCTTCTTCCATCATCATTATGACCCTCATAGTCCTTTTCAGCACTACAGTTCTATGATTCTATCATCATCAGTTTATCTGGGCTCTAGATATCAAATGAAGAACCACAACAGATTAAAAAGAAATTATTAGGAACACTTGATTCTGCTAATGTTGATGTGAGGCCTATAGTCACAGATATGGATGGCTCTCTGATTTTCCTCTCTTGCCTTTCCTCACGCTCTCCAATGGCTCCCTCTGGTCTCTCCCTCTTTCGCATATTGATATGGGTACTGCTTTTCCAGCTCTTCTTTCCTAGGCTGCGTCATCCCTCCGTAGGCCCTTGTTTTCTTCAAGCCTTCCTTTCCCAGGCCCGTCTGTCAGCCTGACACCTTTGTGGGATCTTAGCAACTTGGCACCAGCAGCCACAAACTGTTTTCCTCCTTGCCTCAGCTCTCTGTGACATCAGAGCAGCTTAACCAATTGCAGGCCCAGCAGGCCTAATTGCTGCCACTAATTTGTGTTATTTAAACTTCTTGAAAGTTTTAAATGATTGTTTATTTTTCCTGTTGATAATTTTATTTTTTTATGGGGTTTGTTTTGTAAACCACTTTGAGTTTTTTTAAAAAACAACAATCAAGCAGTCGATAAATTTTATGAAATAAATGAATAGATTGCACTATTGAGTCTCTACCCCTTAACTTTCAACATTCAGTTTGATTATTTTTTCCTAATCACATCTTCAGCGATACTTGATTCTGTATGAGATTGGGCAACTTTTCAGGAGGGAACTTCAGAAAGTTGTGTGTGTGTGTGCGCGCATGCGAAGGCAACTCAAACGATCTGGGGATATATATGAGGGACGTGGGTGGCACTGTGGTCTAAACCACCGAGCCTCTTGGGCTTGCCAATCAGAAGGTTGGCGGTTCAAATCTCTGTGATGGGGTGAGCTTCCGTTGCTCTGTCCCAGTTTCTGCCAACCTAGCAATTTGAATGCACACCAGTGCAAGCAGATAAATAGGTACCGCTGTGGCGGTAAGGTAAACGGCATTTCTGTGCTCTCTGGCACTCGTCACGGTGTCCCGTTGTGCCAGAAGCGGTTTAGTCAGGCTGGCCACATGACCCGGAAAGCTGTGGACAAATGCCGGCTCCCTCGGCCTGAAAGCAAGATGAGCGCTGTACCCCATAGCCGCCTTTGACTGGACTTAACTGTCCAGGGGTCCTTTACCTCTCCCCTATGTGCACCCCCAAATAATACAGTGTGGGGCAGCATCTGATAGAGTTGATTCCTTTTGCATGTGCATTGATGAGAGATATCTCCCTTTGTCACAAAAATGAAAAGAACCAGCAATTCCTCAGTGTAGCTGAGCCTTATCAAGACATTGCAGGAAAGAAAGAGATATTTGCATTAACCTTTCTCTGTTTTTGGAAGAAACTCACGTATTGGAACAAGAGACATTGGCATTGAATATATACATATATAGATCTCCATCGTATATAGCGCTTGTGTCTTTGGCTTCTCCGTCTCTGGCTGCTGATGCACTGGGAGCTTCAGGTTGGGCAGTCAGCAGCTGAATTCGGTGTAGAGAGAAACAAACAGACCTTGTCATGTTCGATGTCAGGAACGTGTTGCGTTTGCAGTGAAGGCAACCCTGAGAAGCGACGGCGGGACTCAGTGGGTGGTTAATTTTCAGTCTGTGTATCCGGGTGTCATGGCATGTGCGATTTTTTTTGCTGACGAGGGAGGGAAGCAGACAATATAAGGAGGTTTTCTTGCAGGGAATGGCAGGGTGGATTTCAGCAGAAAGTGAGCTTTCAACTGCCAATCTGTGCAAACCCTCTCCTTTGAAAACAGATTGCACGCCCTGCACTTCATTCCCTTATAAATTACGCAACCAGAGCACATTTGCATTCAGGATGCATAATTCATTTCTGCACTGGTTAGCCATGCAGAAGGACCATGAGGCTGGCCAGGGGTACAGCTGTCATTGGACTCCAACTCCCATCAGCCCTAGCAGCCTGCCGGCATGGTCGTAGTTGGTGGACACCTCAGGAAGATCCCTTCTATCTGTAACATCTGCAGTTTCAAGGGAACTGATAGCTGTCATTGGACACACAGCCCGGTTCCAGAACCTCCACTGAGAACCCCAGGAAATAGCAGTGAATCTGAGCCAAAGGCCAGAGTATTTCTACCAGAAGGTAGCAGAACTTATCTGGTCTCACATGACTTTTACTCAGGAGCAGGAAGCAAGAAGCAGCATGTGTTCTGGATTAGGACTCAGTTTATTCTCACTTAAGGAGTGGGGTTAGGGTTGCCATCCGTCCGGATTTTCTGCATTATCAGGGTGGAAATTGGGAAAATCCGGATGTATGGCAGCCCCTGTCGACAGTGCTGTTTTTGCTGTTTCCCCAACTATATAACTGTTTGCTCACAGTGTAACAGAACTTGTTTAGTTGTTGTAGAGATGGAAAAGGTTCAGAAAAGGGCAACCAAAATGATCCAGGGCAGGAGCAGCTACCCGGTGAGGAAAGGCTACAGCATTTAGGACTTTTAGTTTAGAGAAAAGGCAAGGAATAATAATAACAATAATTTTATTAGTTATACCCCGCCCATCTGGCTGGGTTTCCCCAGCCACTCTGGACAGCTCCCAACAAAACACTAGAAGCAGAAAAAACTTTAAACATTAAAAACTTCCCTAAACAGGGCTGCCTTCAGATGTCTTCTAAAAGTCTGATAGTTGTTTATTTCCTTGACATCTGATGGGAGGGCATTCCACAGGGCAGGCACCACTACCAAGAAGGCCTTCTGCCTGGTTCCCTGTAACTTCGGTTCTTGTGGAGAGGGAAGTTCCGGAAGGCCCTCGGAGCTGGACCTCAGTGTCCGAGCTGAATGATGGGGGTAGAGACATCACAGAAGTTTATAAATTTATGCAAGGCATGGAAGAAGTGGATAGAGAAAAGGGTTTTTCCCCCCTTCCCCTCCCGTAATTCAAGAACTTGTGGGCATCCCATAAAATTCTGACCCTCCATGTGTCCCTTTCTTCAAGGGATGGCCGTGAATTTACAGAAGCCGTCCCGGTTTCTGATTTGACTCTGGAATGTCCTACATTTCTTTAGGACATCCCTATTTTCATCACAGAAATGTTGGAAGATACGACCCTTGAGCCAAGCAGAGAAGTAACTATCCAAGGCAGCCCTTTGTAGGGAAGTTTTTAAACGTTAAATGTTTTATTATGTTGGAAGCCTCCCAGAGTGGCTGGGACAACCCAGTCAGATGGGAGGGGTATAAATAGTAAAATTGTTGTTGTTGTTGTTAAATAGGACATCCATATTTTCATCAGGGAAATGTTGGAGGGTATGGAAGTTGAATCTTGGAAGATTCGGGGCAGACGAAAGAAAGAACTTCTCAATGCAGCACCTAGTTCAACGGTGGAACTCGCTCTCCCAAGGAGGCAGTGATGCCCCCAACTTGGATGACTATAAAAGAGGATTCGATAAATTCATGTTGCAGGGGGATGATCTCATGTTCTTACTATCAGCCCCAGGCGTAGAGAATGGGATAAATCTGAGCTGAAAGCCAGAGTAGGATGTATAGAGCTTGTCTGGCAGCACAGGGCCCCCTACTAAGGAGCAGGAAGGAAGAAGCCATGTCTGTTCTGCATTAAGGCTGAGTTGATTCTCACTTAAGAGGTGGTTAGTGGGGCCCATTGGCAAGTAAGGTTGAGTTTACCCATTTTATATTTTATACTGGGGTCCCCACTATCTGCACCATAGTGCCCTCAGACACCCACTGAGCCCCCTTTCTCCCCCAATTGCAGTCATTCTTACCTTCCTTCCCCAGAATGCCTCTTATTTTCATGGAGGTATTTTGCTTGCCTTTTTGTGTATTTGTTTGGAGACGAGGATGGCTTGTTTTCTTCGTTGCTTGTTTTTGAATATATTTTTTTCCTGGTTTCTTCGTGGGGGAAGGTTGTCTTTCTTGTGTCTTTTTTTTTGTTTTGGGGTACATATAGATGTTTCCTCTATTTTTTTGGGGGGGCGCAATCTGTCCATCTTGAGCAGCGCCAGTATTTCCTTCTGTGAAATGGGCACCCTGGAATGTTCCTCTGATCCCCAGACATGTCTGAACAAACCGTGGCTTTCCTGATTCAGCTGATTCCATCGCCTGCTTGTTCCAACAATGAACGTGGCTTTGGCTTCCTTTCCGTTTTGATCTGCGCTGTGTTTTTTGGTGCGGCTGACAAAACTCTGAATATTTTGTGTGAATGGAGCTGCTCTTCCGTTTGATGTTCGCTGCTCCAGGCTTCCCCCAGGAAGGCAGAGCAGAATGTAAGCAAGACATGAAATGAAATTAGCCCAGAAATACCTTCTTAAAGATTCTCTAGAACTCTAGATGACTCACTACCAGCACATGTTCTTGCCTTGTTCCCTGAGGCTCAGCATCTCCCATGTTAGCCTGGGAGGATGCAGGATTCTGGAAGTAAAAAAAGGGGGCTTTTTTTGTCTTGGGCTGGGGCTAGAGGCAGCTGGGGGCTGGGGAAGGGACTTTGCCTCTGCCAGCCAATTCACTGCTTTTGGATGCTAATCAGGGACCCCTTTGCCAGGAGAGGAAGCTGATGGCAGTTTTGTCCATTTTAATATCTGGGACCTGTGCGTATGTGTGCGAAATTGACAAATATCCACCCACATTGCACAGATGTGGCTCACTCTCCATGTGGGTGTGAAATGTATAAACATACACACACACAGAGTCATATTCACTACCTATGTGTGTTTATGTATTTATTTAGCTCACTCGGTTAGAGTGTGGTGCTGATAAGGCCAAGGTCGCAGGTTCGATCTCTGTATGGGACGACTGCATATTCCTGCTAGGAGTAGACCAGGCATAGGCAAACTCGGCCCTCCAGATGTTTTGGGACTACAACTCCCATCATCCCTGGCTAACAGGACCAGTGGTCAGGGATGATGGGGGTTGTAGTCCCAAAACAACTCCTATGCCTGAAATAGACAATCCTCGTGGTCCCTTCCTTTTTTCTCCAAAGAGCTCAAATGTGGCACACATGGTTCTTTCCTTCTTTATTTAATCCCCAAAACGACCCTGCAAGGTAGGTGAAGCTGAGAGGCCTGAGGTCGCACTCAACAAGCTTCAGGGCCACATGGGGATTCGAACTCTGCTCTCCGGAGCTCCAGTCTGACCCTCTAACTACTCCGCTGTCTGTGTGAGAGTTGTATAAATAGCAGGCTCGCCCTCTTAACCTGCAAAGCTCACAGTGGCCTTGATGCAGCCCTGATTTCCCTGCGCCCACCACCCCAGTGACAAAAGGACGAGAGAGAGAAAGGCCATTCATAAAGGACGGGCAGTCTCCTTTTGAGGGTCTCTCTCTCTCTGGGCGTGTCTGTGCCTGCCTGGGAGCCAAGAGCTTTCCTTCCCATATGCCAAGCTATCCGAGGGCCATCGCGTTTTCTTTTTCGGTTGGAGGAGGAGGAGGGCTGTGTGTCTGTGCTGATAAGAACAATCAGGCGCAGAAACAGATGTTTGCTCCTCCTCTCTCTCTCTCTCTCTCTCTCTCTCTCCTCTCCATCGCCTCAGCCGTCCAGTCTTGGCAAACAGACCCTGGCTGTCTGGCAGGAAAGGTGGGCTGCGCAGAGATTACCCTGGAATTAGGGCACTGCAGGGAGGAGGGGAGTGGAGCCATTTCAGATGCTTCTCAGTGTGCCAGTTTGGCATTCCAGGATCCTGGTGGACCCTCTCAGGTGGGGACAAGCCTTTTCTGGGAGTTCCTGTTTAACCCGGGAGGCCTGGGCCTTTCTGCCTGCAAACGCTGATGCTCTCCCATCCAGAAAAGACCCCTACGCCATTAATCATAGAACTGTAGAATCGGTAGGGCTCCCAAGGGTCATCTAGATCAACCCCTCGGTAGAAACGCCCTTATAGTGCATCGGGCCATTGTGAAGGTCCCACATCCAGGCCCCAATGGCATCTCCAGGGAGGGCTGGGGGAAAGACCCCTGTCTGGAAACTTGGAGAGCTGATGCCGGTCAGTGCAGACGGTACTGAGCTAGATGGACCAATAGCCTGATCCAGCTTCTTAAGTTCCTGCATTGTGAATCAGGCCCTTGTTCTACCTTGCTCAGTATGGCCTACTCTGACTGGCAGCCTCACTCCAGGGATTCAGATAGTGGGTGTCTCCCTGTCGGGTGGGTGCCAGCAACTGAGCCTGAGACCTTCTGTGCGCAAAGCGGATCCTCTACCACTGAGCTACAGCCCTCCCTTCATCTGAGGTCAGGAGTGGGTCAGCAAGAACTCGCATGGTGTCAGTGAAGTTAACTCTTTATTCAAAGAAACAGGGCAACTCAAGAGGCCAGGCCTAATGACCACAGAAACTCTTTCCCATGGATCTTACCCCACTGAGGCAGTTGTGGGGCTGGAGGTCCCTGCCTTCCCACAGCTCCTTATGTCTCCCCTTCCCAAACAACATGAGACTTTGTTATCTTGTCTGTCTCTCCTCCACCCTTTTCATGCCTCTTCTGGTTCTGGGAGACCAGGGGGAGGGGAGACCCCCCTGACTTCTTCAGCAGCCTGCCTCACCTCTGCCTTTTGGCCCCCTTCCTCTCCAGCCTCTGCTTCTGCCTCTGCTTCTGAACTGCTCTCTGCCACAGCTTCTTCCTGCTCACTAAACCCTGTTGCCTCTTCTGCTTCTGACCCCTCCTCCTCCCAGTCTGCTCCCACTTCTCCTTCTGACCACTCAGCCCTGTCCCAACACCAGTCCCCGGCTCTGAGCCTCCCACCACTCCTTTGCATTCAGCCAGTTATGACATTGGAGCTCTACCTTCTATTCAGGGATGCAAAAGGCCTTATCAAAGTTCAAGGATGCATTCCAGCCAAACAAAAACATCTAAGGAGGGGGCAATGCAAGGCCAGCAAGGGGTGTGGCCTGGGGAGAAGCGTGAGGGCCAGATAGGGAAGCTTGGAGGGCCACATTTGGTTTAGGGCTGACTCAGCATAAGGCAGCTCCCGATTTTTATTATTTATTAAATTTATATACCGCCCTACACAAACAGGTCCATTTGGCACTTCCATAGCTCAGTGGTAAAGCAACGACTTTGCTTGCAGGAGTTCCTGGCTGTGCTTCCGAACACCTCCAGGTAGGGCTGGGAATACAGTGGTAACTCGGCTGTCGAATAAAATCCATTCCCGTAGACTGTTTGACTTCCAAAATGTTTGACAACAAAGGTGCAAAGGGCTGTCTGCAATTTCCATTGAGAAAATTGGGGGGGGGGGGCGCAGCAGAAGCCGTTTGACTTCTGAGATGCGTTCAAGAACAGAAGCATTTACTTCTGGGTTTTCAGTGTTCGGAAACCAAAACGTTCGGCTTCCGAGACGCTCGAGAACCGAGGTACCACTGTATCCCAAGTCTGGAGAGCTGCTACAAATGTCACAGACTGGTTGGACACAGAGGAATGGGGGGAAGACATCTGGGGAGCCGCCAAGGGAAGAAGGCTCAGAAACCAGGGAGTGGTGGTGGGACAACAATAAGTGATCAGAGGGAGAAGACTGGGAAGAGGAGGTGTCATAAGTTTAGGACATACAGGACCTGGTGATTTGGGAGAGTCTGTAGTGGAAAAAAGTCCAGAATCAGAGGCAGAAACTGAAGCTGGGGAGGCCAAGAGGCAGAGATGAGTCAGGCTGGTGAAGAGTCACAGGTGTCTCCCCCTCCTGCTCCCCTCTCCCCTTGTTTCCCAGAAGCAAAAGAGGCATGAAAAGGGCGGAGGAGAGGTTGGCTTCATGCAGGCGCAGTCTTAGATTGCTTGGGGAAAGCTCTGGAGAAGAAGGGACTTGGACAGCTGTGGGGAGGCGAGGATGTTCAGTCCTGGCAAGACCGGGGATGAGCTGCTGTGCTCATTAGGCCTGACACGCCGCCAAGTCTGTGCAGATCATGTTCTTGCCAATAAAGTGTTTATTCCTACTTGCCCAGTGTGCTTTTCTGCTGGCTCGCTCCTGACAACCAAGCAACTTCCTACTCACTTCCCTTAGGTGTCACAGAGAGGCTATCGAGGCAACAGGAGCCACAACTGAGGGTCACCCTCATTCTGCTGCCCTTCGCAATCTGCCGCTTGAGGCAAGTGCCTCTTCCCTCAGGCTGGAAGCTTATTCTCAGGGTCAATGTTAGGGTGATGCCGAGCACAACTTGGGGGAGCAGTTTCCCTCTCAGGTGGCATGTTTGACCTTCTTGGTGGAGAGGTGCAAGTCAAGATAGTTGCTCTCCGTTCCATTTCCGCACCAGCTGTGCGGGTGGCGGGTGAGGAGGCGGGAGACGGCCTCTCCCGCTGTCAGTCACCAGGTGCTAATAGACTCTGGGTTTCTGGCCATTAATTTGTACCGTAATTAAGAGTTAATTGCCTGCACCCCCCACGCCTAACGCAGCCATCGCCAGCCATTTGGATCTAATTGAATGGAGTTCAAGGTCCTTGATATCAACAGACTCGGCTGAGGTCAGGGTTGGGAGATCATGTTGACTTCAGGCCCTTGCTTTTCCAGCCTTAAGTTTAGTTCTCCACTTTTGTACCTCAGTTTGACATTTCTCTCACCGCCCCCCCCCCCCGGCATCTTTTTGGAAAATTCAAAAAGTACATAATTATATGTGCACTAAACATGAGACGTAAATAAAAGAGAGAGAAAGAAAAAGAGAAACAACGCCTGTGTAGAAGGGAAAATAAAGGGGGGAAAGGAAAAAAACACAAAACTGTATATATCAAAGTTGTCATTGAATTTCACCAGATCTTAACCTATTACAGAATTTGTAAGAGTGGATTTCAAATATCATTGAATTTGTCCATGGAAAATCTGCGTTTATATGCAAGTTGTTCATATGTTGCGAGTTTGTATAAGTCTTGAATCCAATTGTAGACGGGAGCCACATTTTTATTTTTCCAATTTATCAGTACAGTGGTACCTCAGGTTACATACGCTTCAGGTTACATATGCTCCAGGTTACAGACTCTGCTAACCCATAAATAGTGCCTCAGGTTAAGAACTTTGCTTCAGGATGAGAACAGAAATCGTGCTCTGGTGGCGCGGCAGCAGTAGGAGGCCTCAATAGCTAAAGTGGTGCTTCAGGTTAAGAACAGTTTCAGGTTAAGAACGGACCTCCGGAATAAATTAAGTACTTAACCCAAGGTATCACTGTATCAGTCTTTTTGCTGTGGTAAAGGCACGGAGAGTCCACTCATACTGTCCTTTTGTAAGGTTCCATGTGCTGGGTATATAATTCAAAAGGATATTTTGCTCTGTAAATGTAAGGTTGTTCCGTACAGTTCCGTTGAAAGTTTTTTTTAAATGTCCCCATGAAGGTTTGCCAGCACTTGTGTGCAAATATCTCCCGTTATAAAAGGTTTCCTCCATAATGTTGCCTGGTTTTCACATTTTCTTTCAACGCCATATAAACGCATGATGTTATTTCACTAACGTGTACATTGAAAGGAGATTCCGACTGAACATTAGGTACGGTTGCCATATGTCCGGACATAGCCGGTATCCAGCCCCCTTAGGAAGAGTCCGGGCAGCTCAACTACTTTTGTGTCCGGATTTTCACTTTTTGGAATGACCACCCTAACATCAGGAAGAACTTTCTGACAATGAGAGCAGTTTGACAGTGGAATGAACTAACCCAGAAAGTGGTGGACTCTCTTCAATGGAGGTTTTAAAGCAGAGCTTGGATGCCCATCTGTCAGGGATTTTTTAGCTGTGTTTCTTGCATGGCAAGGGGGTTGGACTAGATGACCATTGGGGTCCCTTCCAACTCTCCAATTCCATGGTTCTATGTTGGTGCATAAATCCAATTAACATTGCTTTTA